AATTTAACTGCGTAAAATCAGTAGCTGATCTCGACTTAAAAATTAAGCCAGATGGACAATGTTCAGAGAATTTGAAATGTAATCCATTTCCCTTGGTCGAGTCCGCAGGGAGAAAGGCTGTGGGTGAGGAGGGTGAATTCAATAGTGTAGCCGTATTTTCGACACCGACATTTGTTTGAGTGAGAAAGTGGTGTCGAAGTTGAGCAATTTTCCGTTTATGTTCTGATGCCTCTAAGGCCACTGCAGCATCGATATTTGTTGCAGATGGATACAGGCGATGAGCGGAGTCGGCCAAAAAACTTTTTGTTTTAATTTGGTCTGGAGCACCCTTGTGTAACATCACGTTCAGTCTATCAACAAAGAGAAAACAATACCAATAAATGGTTAAGTGGGAGTAACTTCGGCTTTCGATATATGGAAAGAAGCTGAAAGAACAATGCAGTGATAAGTGGCTTTGGGACAAAAACTGAAGAATATACACTGCTCGCAAGTGCCACGACTATCAGTACTCGAGAAAGGAACGTCATTGAAGTAAACGACTTTCAAAAGTAAGATGAGTGTGGAGTGAAAAATCTTGGGAGAAATAAGGAAGAAGGACGAAAGAGTGTATGTAGAGTTCTCTATCAGCGCACTTCGTTTAGTCGTACACGGCGCAATTTGGCGAAAAAGCACATGTTTAAATATAGTCGCGATCGCTACCTGGCGATAAGTATTAACAACTAGACGCAGTAAAGAGCGAGATTATCATAAGGGTGGAATTTGTGGTTTTTTCAGAAATAGCTGAAACATTGTCGAATAGGTGACTCGCTATAAGCCGAATCCTGCACATTAAATGCAAATGCCGTGAATGTTATAGGGTACAAAAATAGTCGGTAACTGCTACTCGACAAGTGTAGATATGTAGAAATCGGCATGGTTGAAGAAACGGAAAGTGTTTGCATTTAGAAAGCAGACACGCGGTATGTACAAGCGCTGTAAGGGAAGCCAATAGGAAAAAAACAAAATATGGTCAATTTTTATTTTAACGAACAATTTAGCTTTTAGCCATTGTGATAAATGTATGTGAAAATTCTATAACATTAAAATAACTGGGCACGCAAGTGAGACATTTGCCGAGCCTCACCTTGTCTCGCCCGCCTTAATTCTAATGTAGTAAAACCAGCTTCTTATTAAATTAATATTATTGTTGTCCTTTTCACATTATCGTACACGTCGCTTGCCACCGATTTTGCAACTGCTTCCTTGCTCACTGAAATTGAATAACTTAAGCTGGTCCTCACCAAGAAGCATTTCTTCCGCTCGTTCTAGACGTCTCTCGGCCTTGTTATCTACAAGAGCACTGATCTCGATTATTGCAAATATACTCAATTTTTCTACACTTTGTTCCGTTATGATATTGCGTTTCGTCACTAAACGGAATTGGGCAAAGGAAATAAAGCTCGGTATTTTCAGTCAAGCAAGCAGATTTATTTTTACCTGCCCAATTCTGGGCTAAATGTGGAAGTTGGCCTAGCATTATTTATGGTACAAATCATGTCTGTTTATGCATTCAACTAGAAACGAACGGTTGATAGTTAATGGAACAAACCCACATAATACAAAAGTTGTTAACTCGTTCTTGTGAAGTTAGAAACGACCGTAACGCAAAACTTTATCTACACAGAGGAAAATAGCCGCCGAAATCTACCATGAGGTAGGCGATATTTTTTCCTATAACCAAACTACACATGAGGTCTTTACAAACAAATTGGTTCATTGGTTTGATCAAGGCTGCAGCATGTTTACAGTAAAATGATGATCGTTCCCTGTTTACAAGGCAGTACCGAAATAAATATACAGAGACAATTAAAATGTGACTGGGGCTGAAATAAGACTTCAACAATACAGTTTTCGAAAAGGAGGATCCTGCAGGACACATTTTCCACAATCTCTCCAGAGCTGGACCCAAACTTTCGAGAAACATCACGTTGTTCATGTCGCCTTGATTAACTTTCAAAAGGGCTTCGACAGACTAGAATGAATAGGATGCAAAGATATCTCCCTCAAATATATCGACAACTTTTTAATGGGTTGGCACTAAGTTGTGTGCACCGGTTAAGAGAAGTCGTGTTCTGCTGCGATCGAGAGTGGAATTCTCGAAAGATCTGTACTACGGTTCGTCGTGCGGACAATTATGTCACAGATTTCCAATGTAATACAGCTATATTTGTCGATGACATAAAAATATAAACTGTAACCTCGGGGCCTCCCGACGGTATTGGCCTGCAGATAAACTTAAAAAGATTGTAACTCTGGTCGCACCGTCTATTTCTGTGGTTGAATTTCGATAAGTGTACAACACTCCACCTAGGCAAACCTGCTTGGCCCAACAACAGTAGAAGTAACTCTCTCAACGCTCATAATAATAATAATGGATAACAGTGGAGCTAGGAAATATTTTACGCTAGTGCACCAGGGATTTTCAATCTCCATTCTGATTCACATAACCGAGGTGCTATAACAAAAAGGAAACATGAATGAGCTTTTTGTCGTTGTCGGCTGAAAACTTTACCTGCTGAGTTTCGCGCTACAAATCTAGCGCTATGTTTCTCAAGATGAGCCCCAGCGGAGGGATCCGCAACCGCAAAATCCGTCACTGCGGAAGTTTTCTTTATCCGATTCGGTAACCAAAATTGTAGAAGAATACATTATATGAATGATAGTGTGCTTCGTCAAAGAAAAAAATTTGCATTATTCATATTCCTTGATAACTTATTTCAGTTTGCATATGCATTCAGAGAAAAGAACTGACTATTCCTGATTTCGCATGCCAGGCAAATAAATGAAAAGATATCACAGAAAAGAAAGGGCTTAGCAAGTCCTTCGTGTGAAATTGAGACGCTTATTTGAAG